ATGGACTCAATTTTTCATTTTTTTTTTTTTTTATCTCACTCATACACATTGTTTCATTTTTGTTTGAAATTTTGATCATTAGAAAGAAATGTAATTTTATACTTTTATCTTTGATGATATGTAATTAACTTGTAGGAAAAATATTGAAAATATGATTATATTATTTGTAAAGGAATTTTGCTATAGTAAGGTTATAAGTTATAACCCTAGAGTTCAAGATCCCTTTCCTTTAATGCTAGGCGGGTTCTTGATGGTTGGTATGCTCTCGGCAGGCTTCTAGTCGACAATTAAAGTGCACGTCTATTATTGTTATTTTGAGTACAATTGAGGGACTAAAAGTGGACATGTCGATAACTCAAGTACTAAATTTATACTTAGAATATAACTTGGAAACAAAATATACACTCTTTTTTTATTTTTATTTTTTATTTTTTTACTTTTAAAATAAAACGTATTACTATTCATTATTCAACAAAGATTTTGTTTTTAAATACAGTAGTAGCTTTGGGGTGATTTGACAAATTATTGTATGGACCATGGTCTACACAGTGCTATGTGGATCATATAACAAAAAGTATATTTTTAATATACTAAAAGTACATTATTTGTGTACTAAATATATATTATACAAAATAATGTACTTTCAATACTCAAATAATGTACTTTTCTTGAATAGAATATATATTTTTTTAAGACAGAATATACATTTTTTTATATACTAAAAGTATATTATTTGTGTATTAAATATACATTATTTGATAGTATGATCCACATAGCTGTGTAGACCATTGATTGGGTGATTTCTTCCCAATTGTAGGTTGTGGCCCAAATTCATTGTTTTTTTTTTTTGTTTTTTTTTTTTTTTTTTTTTGAGACTTTAGTGATGCCATCAAAATAAGTATTAAAAAAAATATTTAAAATCTCAAAAAAAATTTAAAACTTTGATATAAAATTGTTTTATAGTATTTTTTTTTTTGAAAGCCAACCAAAGAATGATTGTTTTAATGAATCAAAGCTGCAATATAGTCAGGGGGGATATAATCCCAGTACATAGGTTGATCCTGAACAAAAGCTAACGTAGCTAACGCATGCGCATGCGAATTAATCTGCCTAGAAACATAATTTAACGAGACATAATTAAACGAAGAAATTAACCTCCTGGTCCACTATGACCCCAACATAGGACATTATATTGGTTGATCTCTGTCGTATAGCATTCCTCAGTTGTATACAGTCTGTGAGAAGGGTGACCGTTGTTTTATTTCTCTCCAGAAGCCAGGATAGAGCCTCCTTACATGCCAAAGCCTCCGCCATATACGACAACAAACAACTCGGGAGCCTTCCATTTTTTACCGCCAAAAAGGACCCTTCGGGAGTCAACAACACTATGCCGTATGTAGCCTCCCCCGTGCCCTCCCGGTAGCCAGCGTCTATAAAGCATCTTGGCATGGCGTCCACGGCCTCCACCGTAGCAGCCGAAACCGCAGCTGGGCAGCGGCGTGTGATCTGCCGGAATGACTGCAACGCCGCCGTGGCCTGTCTCCATGTAGCCGTAGGGTGAGGAAGTGCGGCATCCCATACTGCCGAGTTTCTGCATCTCCATAGACGGTAAAGCAGCGCCACTACGGCTCCACCTTGATCCTCTGTTAACATTGTAAGCACAACTGTTAGCCACTCAGGGAAAGAGTTGACAACAATATTTGTTACAGGCAGTCCTGAAATATTCCAAACATATCTAGAATAATCACAAGTAATCAATGCATGCATCATATCTTCATGAGCCACCCCACACATTTGGCATGTGGGATTCACTTCTACCCTATTTATAATCACATTATTAGTTGTAGGAAGAACATCACAAATTGCTCTCCATAAAAAAGTCTTCCATTTTTGAGGTACCTTCACCCCCCACATTGTAGTCCATTTTTCAAACTTCCCTGGTGTGTGGTCATAAATCCCCATAATGTTCCTGTAGGAATTCTTAACTGTATAAACTCCATTTGGATCACTAGGCCAATACCATGAGTCCTCATATCCCGGACTTACAGGAATCCTTAGCATCATTTCCACATCTTCCTCATTAAATAAATCTGTTAGAATATGTAGATCCCAGGTAGTAGTCTGCTCATCTATCAATCCTGCTACCTTGGCATGCCTGAGCTCTTCTGGCATGTTTGTTTGTATAAGGGGGCTAGGATCATCAAGCAACCATGGGTGTCCCCAGATTAATGTCGTTCTACCGTCCCCAATTCTCCTCCGTATCCGTGCCACTACCATAACATGAGCTGCCATAATACTCCTCCAAGAATAGCTTGGGCATCCTCCTATTTTAGCATCAATAAAGGAGGTACTCGGATAGTACCGAGCCTTATAGACCTTTGCAACAAGGGAATCGGGGCTTGTGAGTAGCCGCCATGCTTGTTTTCCTAGCATAGCCACATTAAAACTCCTGAGATCCTTAAACCCCATTCCCCCAAATTTCTTAGGGATACTCAGCTTATCCCAAGCTTTCCAGTGTATTCCCCTGTCTACACCAGTACCCCACCAATACTTGTTCATTGTCCTTTGAATTGATAAACACACTGTGTCTAGGATTAAGAAAACACTCATCGAAAAGGTAGGCATTGATTGTGCCACACTTTTCAATAAAATTTCCTTCCCCGCCTGTGATAGGAACTTCTTGTTCCATGAACCAATCCTCTGCTTTATTTTATCCTCAATCTATGAGAACACTGCTCTTTTATTCCTTCCTATAAAAGATGACAGACCCAGATATTTCCCAAAATTGGGTGTCTGGTCTACTTGTAAGCATGTAGCCACCACTTCTCTGTCCTCCACACTGGTATTCCTACTAAAACAGATACTGGACTTGTGATAGTTCACCTTTTGTCCTAACAACTCCTCATATCGCCCCAGACACTGCTTAATTATTTCTGCCTCCTGACCATTTGCTTTAAAGAACAACAGGCTATCATCCGCAAAAAATAAGTGTGGTATCTGTGTGGCTCCTCGTGCCACTCTGCAGCCATGTATAGATCCAGCCATCTGAGCTCTCTGTAATAGCATAGACAGTCCTTCAGCACAAATGATAAACAAATACGGAGACAAAGGATCTCCTTGCCTCAGCCCCCTGGTCGGCATTATTCCACCACTAGCAACACCGTTAATCAGAATGTTATACTGAATAGTAGTGACACACTGCATCAGTAAATTAATCCACCGATCATCGAAACCCATTACCTCCAACATCCTTCTCAAAAACTGCCATTCCATCCTATCATACGCCTTTGCCATATCCAATTTCAAAGCTCACCCAGCCTACCCGACCACACTATTTTCTATTCAAATAGTGCCCCACCTTCGCAGCTATAAGAATATTATCTGTAATAAGCCTTTCAGGAATAAAAGCACTCTGAGCCTCTGAGATGAGGTCCCCCATAAGTGGTTTCATCCTATTGGCTATTACCTTCGCCATAATCTTGTATAACACATTACTCATGTTATTGGTCTCATGTCGGCTACTGTCTCAGGCACATTCCTCTTCGGGATTAAAATCACATTACTGTCATTCAATCCCTCAGGGAGTGAACCTGAATTCAAGCAATTTACAATGAACTCCGACACATCCCTACCAACAATGTCCCAAAACTCTTGGTAGAACCCAGGGTTCATAGCATCCGGTCCTGGCGCTTTGTCAGGAAACATTGCAAACAAAGCACACTTGACCTCCTCAATCTCAAAAGGACGAAGTAAGGTACTATTTTGTTCATTAGTCACACGGAAAATAAAATCATCAAACATGGGATCCTCACACTCAGAATTTGAAGATGTAAAAATAGCTGCATAATAATCCAAGACAACCTTCTTCATATTTTCCCCATCTACCCAGATACCCACATCATTTTTCAATCTAGGAATATAGTTTTTCCTTCTACGGGCAGAGGCATACCTGTGATAAAATTTTGTATTGCAATCTGCACCACGGAGCCAGTGCTGCTTAGCCCGCTGCCTCCAAAACACATCTTCATGTACCTCCAACTGGCCCAGTCTTTCCTCGAGATGGCGAAATTCAGCCACAGCAACCGAATCCTGCCTATGGCGCAGCGCATCCTGCTCCCTCCTCAACTGCTTTATGCGGTCACCAAATTTATACCAGTGTTCCCCACCCCACCGCATGAGGCTTCCTCCACAATGTTGCTGACAAATCAACAACCCCCTATCCCTTCCATCCTGCTAGGCAGTCTCCACTACATTCCTACAACCCTCATCATGAACCCATGCCATCTCAAAGCGAAACCGTTTCGGTCCCCCCTGTCTGCGCACCATAGCAATGTTGGTGTCTAGGAAGAGAGCCGAGTTGTCAGATTTCCGAGTTAGAATATTTTCAACCCATGTTTCACCATGCAAATCAGTCCATTGCGTTGTCACTAACACCTTATCCAGCCTCTCCTCCAACCACCTCTCAGTTCCCTTCCCCTTCTCCCATGTAAACTGGTGCCCTCTCATTTGCAATTAGAAGAGGCCACAGCTGTGTACTGTGTCCCCAAAACCCCTGAGAAGACTAACCGGGTGTGGGTTCCCCCCTCTTTTCTCATGCTGATACAACAAATCATTAAAGTCCCCCACTACCACCCAGGGCAGTGTAGACTTGTCCTTTAAACCACTCAACAGCTGCTAGGCCTCCCTACGCTTATGTCTTTACAGGAACCCATAAAAACACGTCATACGCCATACCTTCTCCCTTATAGCTACCTCCACATCCAACAGCTTAACAGTATTATTCTTCCTCCACAATAATGCCAAGCCACCCCCTCTCTCTTCATTATCTACATAAAACAGACCCTCAAATCCAATCTTAACACGTAATCTCTCTGCATGTATTCGTTCTACTTTAGTTTCCATCAAGTAGACGAAATCGGGCTTCTTACGGGACACCATGTCCACCACTTCTCGAACTGTCTGTGGATTGCCCAAGCCACGACAGTTCCAACTTATCGTACTCATTGTGATGGGCGGGCCTGACCACCAAGACCCGCCGTAAATCCGTTTTTTGACAGCTCTGCCATGATCACATCCCCCGCATCCATTCTCAAACCACCACCATCCACCCCATCCCCCCTCCTCCTTTTAGAAGCCGCAACCACCACCCCTTCACCTGCCCTCACCTCCCCAAGCCGTACGTCCCCCACACCCCCTACACCCGCACTCCTCCCCTTCTCTTCCCATCTTGCCACACCCTTCCCCTTCCCCTCAAGTGCTATCAACCATGGCTCCCCCACCTGTCTCGTTCCCCGTCTACCTCCCCCCGCCTTCAGGTCCGCCGTGTACGGGAACTTGTCCGCGGTTAATCCGGATTTCCTCGCGAGCTTACAAAATTTATAGGCATGCCCCAACAAACTACAATAAAAGCAAAAGTTATGTAATCGTTCATACCGAAAATTCACCCAACAGCTTGTCTTATCCCGTTTAATAAGTTTCATCCTTCACTTTAGTGGCTTGTCTACCGGAATTGAGACCCGGACCCGGTGAAACGTCTTCCACGGTGCCCTTGGGTAGCGGTCATCCACCTTAACAAACGAACCATTAAAATTGGCAGCTTGTTCAAGTACCGCCCCCGAAGTATAACCCAACGGTAAATCATAGAGTTGCACCCACATATCCACTGACTTCAACTCAACGGCTGCCGGCCGGACATCCGCCTCCACCTGTCTACAAACAAGGGTGTTATTATCAAACGACCATGGTCCTTCATCGAGAACTCTCTGCATATCGGTCTCATCATAGAAAATAAACATAAACAATCTCGATTGAATCTCCGTAGCCTGCATGCCCCACACCGGCTGCCAAATTGAGGCCATAACCTGCCTCATATATTCCAGCTTCACTACCTTGGATGTCAAGAAACGGCCGACACACACCCACCGCCTCTCCTCCTCCTCCGCGAGCACTCCAACATCCTCCCCCACCGGTTTAAAACCCACATCCACCTCCTCCTCCAAAGCTATATCAGCCCACCGCTGGGTGAGCCGTTTAACCACCTCGTCTGTCCGTTCGAGCACCGGCAGTTCGTCATCCTCTGCCCGTTCGTTCGTTGCCATGATCTTCGTTATCGCAAGTAGTTCGTTCGCCTTGGTTCGTGTCGAACAGTGGAGACCACCGTAAAGAATGTCGGAAAGTACCTGTGACACCCCGTGTTACGGCCCCTAAAACCATTTAATTAATTAATCAATAGCCCAAGAGAAAGAATAAATCATAATGATTAATTAGGGAAAAAGGCCCACCATAGTCCATGGGCCTTCATATATAAACCCAACCCCTAAACCCAATCCTTAGTTCCAAAAGGAATAGAATTAGCGAGCCTATAATATTAGTTCCTAATTAGGACTCCTAAATATATAAATAGGGGACTTAGGAGGCACCTAGAACTTCCCACAAAAATAACGCCCCACCACCCCAAAAGAGCTCCAAGAATCCCCTTAGGAGAAATCAAGAAAGCAAGGAAGCTTAAAGAAAGATCCTTCATAGCCAAGGAATTAATTAAGGCTAAGAGGTAACCCATGTCTCAACAAAACCTATTTTTATAGTTATGATTCCCCCTTAGGATTTCCCCCATATTATTGTGTTTGGCGAGTTATGATAATTATTGTTGATGTTTGATGTGATGATCCCATGAAGGATCTTGATAATCTTGATATCGGTAGATTCTTGATAATAATGATGTTCTTGATGATTATGCGGAGTTCTTGATGTTTATATGTCGTTCTTGATAATTGTTTGGCGTTCTTGATGCTTATGTGTTATTTGTACCGAATCTTGTAATTAGAAGACGAATCGTATTCTTGTTGTTATAAAAGTGATTAGAACCCTAGGTTGTATCGTATGATATTATTCTTGGTGTATCGGGTGGGGAAATCGCATGTTTGGGTGTTGATTATGTTTAGAAAAGCATGATAGGTTGTGACGTACGTTTCTCGTATTTGATCCGTTAATTGTCTACGTGTTAATCGTTAAATTGCGTTGCAAAGTGTCTAAGCATGGTTTCGGGTTCCACAACGGTTCCCGGGGCGCAATTGATGAAAAAGAGTCAGTGGGGGGTAGGGGACCCGCCACCTACCCGGTGCCGAGAATCACCGCCTGGCAGCGGGTGGCCGGCGGGCGGGCAGCTGCCCGCCGGCGACCCACTGCCCGGAACAGTAAAACCGGCGGGCAGCCGGCGGGTGGCCCCTCACCCACCGGCTACCCGCTGGAAATTCCCCCAACTTGGGATCCCGGCTTCCCCGTTTGATGTTCCCCGTTCCCCGTGGTGTCCCAACGGACTCTGTTTATCGTGCCTATGTCTAGTGTGATATTTCAGGTACCGTTCGTAGGTTTATGAGTCTATTATATTGCATGCTAGTTGAATTGGTATCCCGTTGACCTAGGTGGAAGAAGTATGAACCCCTTAGGACTATCCTTAGTAAGTGATGGATCACGCATAGGTTTTGTTATACGTTTTCTCCCCCTTCCTAATGTGTAATGTGGGTTGCATGTGCTTGCTATGTGTTATGTGTGTGTTACCCCAATTCGGTTGCGATCGGATTGGTTATCCTGAGCTGCGGTTCAGAAGCTGGCTGCGGTCAGATTGATATTCTTGGGCTGCGGTCCACCGTTTGGTTGCGATCAAACGTTTCTATACGAGCTGCGGTTCGTCCTTTTTCCTGGCTGCGGTCAGATGACATTCTCTTGGGCTGCGGTCCACTGTTTGGTTGCGATCAAACACTATGATGAGCTGCGGTTCATCGGTCGGTTGCGATCGACCCCTCCGTGTTGCGATACGGGGCAGGGTGCTGCGGGGCCGTGTCAGAGCTATATGCGCTGACCCTCATATATGGGCATGCGATTGGTCCTGTGGCGCCAACAAAGTGTGTTATGTGTTGTGACATGGACGAGTTGTGATTACGAATGTCTTGGGGATGGGACTATGGGATTTATATTGGGGATTGTTCATGTTGGGTTATGATCATTGTTATGCCTTGCCTTATCTGCCTTATCTGTGTGAACTGCATATGCTCGTTATAACTGTGCTTGTGTCTGGCCGTATCTGTCGAGTCATTCCCGGTTTTAAAGCTAGAGTTCGTAGGATATAACTTCATGCTCAAAATGGTTTTCGTATATCTATATATATCGCTATATGTATTGTATTTCAACGCGTTGGAGTGGGTTACCAGCATCTCTCGCTGAACAGATATATTTGGCTTTCAGGCACAGAGGACTAGAGCACTGGAGTGCGCTAGAACTGGAGCGTAGAAGTAGAGTAGTTTCCCTTTCGGCCTGCGTGCCATATTATGCATTATGTTTCAGTGGATATTAGTTAGACAGCCTGTGCACCTGGGTTCTCTAGCCCAGGTGTGGCATAGCACCCCCCGTACACTTATGATATACTTTGGAATGTAATGAGATATTACCTTTAGTATATAAGCTTAAAAAGTCTTGAAAATCTGGGGTGTTACAGTACCCAGAAACCCTAGCCAAACCCTAGGAAATAACCGGAGCTCTAGAGAGATATTTTTTCGTTTTATAGTAATTGATTCAACAAATTAATTTAAAACGTTTTGACAT